AACTGAGCCTGAATGCAAGTGAAAAGACATTCTCTGCTGTCCTAAAAAGACGACTAAAGTCGCGTGAGGAATGCGCTCTGGATATCAGTCGGGATCAAATTTCAATCATTGCCCTATCCGATGACCCTGTCTGCAAAGCATACACTCTATTGAGCTTAAAATAATGAAATATTTGTCAAAATAGTGTATATCAGCAGTCGGTTGGTTAGAGAATCAAGTAAGTGCTGTCAGATATTGCTGCTAAATCTGAGCTTAAACTTATAGATCGAGAGCATACCGACTGTCACCTCATGCTCAAAATTGTCTCAAATTGTCTGTGCTGAAAATAATACCTCTTCTCTGGATCACCGGTGTTGTGGTCATATAATCCAATGCATATCCCCCCTGCGTTTGATACGCACTGAGATATAATCCACATGAAAGGTGTGAAAGAGAAAGTGAAGACCTCAAATGGAGGTAAGAAATCATGTCTGAAGTAGACTGCAGTGCAGGGTAAGGGCCGAATTGTCGGACGTCGAATGGCCGAACTTGTGAACACTACTTAGGTCGACGAAATTTTTCCAAGATCAAATAAGTATAATAATGGAAATACGCATTTGTATTCTTCTAATACGTGCTGCGGCTGGGCCAAAATGACAGATTTATCTGTTTATTGAAAGAACACGACAATTTTTACTTTTAACTAGCTGGAATAGGACTGAGACAATGGGCAAAAAACTATATTTATGATTTCGGATTCATGTTTGATAGAGACCTGGAAAGGAGAGGATAAAGTGGCCTGACCATTCGGCCACTACGAACTTCCCCAATTTGCTGTTTTGCTAACCTTTTGGGGATATTAAAGCAGAACCGTTTATGCCAAAGTTGGTGACTAATTTGCTTTGAAGTCTTAATGTTCTGTCTTAAACAATGCGTTGCTCCACGAAGAGATGGAGAAACAGATTTTCAAAACAAACGAAATGAAGTCACTGCCTTGATGCTTTATCTGCTGTTTCGCGGCTAAATTAGTCGACATTACTTGCGCAAACTGGCCTCATGAGAGAACAGCAAGATAATAAGACTATAGAAGAATTTGGCTATACTTAGTCTCCCTCGAGACTAGGGAAGTACTCAGAGCTACCGATTCGGTGAGCACTAATACCAACGAGTGGCAAAAAGTAATGGAAACAAGCATTACCAATAAAGAACATTATTGTTGGGACTTTCATTTCGTGTGAAAGTATATGAATAAGGGATTAAAAGGTCGAAGAGGACGGTTGAATCCCACTGTAATGCAGCCGCTTGGGTCTTATACGACGTTGAGATTGACTATAAATAAGAAAATGATAAACTTTTGCACATTTCGTGTCAGGCCAATTCACTAATGAGGCGATTATGGCCAGAAAGCCTATTTGTTCTAGATTGGCTTTTTAAGTGTACAAAACTATGAGGCTATCATGCAAGCTTCCACTTTGCAACAAAGCCAGTGATCATTATGAGTAGGTTCAGAGACTATCATGGGATCATGAAGGAGATCTGTAGTCAACCAAGGTTACAAAGAGTAATGAAGCACTGATAGTTGAATTTTTCCACAATGCTATGACTAGGTCTCACATTGCCGTTGATTTTCACTTTACCTTGCCTCCAAGACGGTTATCTACTCCAATGTGGACTGCAATTCCATCCAATCATGGCTCTCACCGGTACCCCCCGACAGGAATGAAATCCGGAAAGCGGTGCTACGATTGCACCTCTTCACACTGCCACATGTGTCAATCGTGAACTTCAAGATTGGTCAGGCCTTTCTAATATCTGTGTTCAAGTGTCTATCACGAAGGGGATGTCGGATGCTCGGCTAAGTGGACCAGAAGCGAGAGCACAATACACATAAACGAGACAGACAAGCGGATACAAATGATCACAAATGGCTGGACCGATCAACATGATAGAATTACTCACATTGGGCTTGTCTTATTAACCGTGTTTATTTCTACCCCCATCTGTCTGCTGCGTGTAAGCTGGTTGCATTCTGTTTATTTTAATTAGTCAACTAAAAATAGAGAGAATGAATATATTGTGCCTAACAGAAAACCTTGGATGCATGAATACATGCAACAAATATTGCTGCTAATTTTTAGGTTAATGAGAGTAATATCATATTCTTATATTTATATTTTTGACTATCTCTATAATCGAATTAAGTATAAAATAATTATAGCATTGTCACAAGCAAAAGTAGCACCATGGATTTATGACCATTTTCTCACACTGTAGTTCGATTTCACCACTTTGTTTGCATACTTTTCCCTGAAAATTCAGCATAATCCAGAAGCTGCATTAATAATTTCACCTGTAGTAATCCACTCTACTTATAACTTACTACTTCAGACCGAGTGTGCATCAGAAGCATAACAAAATGGACCATTCTCGTTCCATTTCTCTTTGGGTATCCTTCATAGACATTGATTCTTAATCTATTTGGTTGTCGACCCAATTTGCCGTTCATATAATGTATCAACTTGTGGCTAACTACAAAAAGCTACCTACCACTTGGTAAGATAATCATCGTGAATTATAATGGGATAAAATATCTCTTTAAGAATTTAGGAGCACTTTAACTCAACTGGTTTGTAGTATTGCTTAGTAGTTGCTCAGTTCATGATGAATTGAAGAGGGAGCTACCATTTGTTGTAGAATATTGCTTTCCCATCTATTCCAAAAATTGGCTCTTATTTGAGGTGAATTGCAGCTGCGAACAGAAATGGGTCTCAAAGATGGCATAGTTTACCATCAAAATGACAATTCGCCCAGGTCTACTCCTCATCCCCCCTGGCAGTCGAATCCAGCAACACACATCATCTCTAGGGCTAAGGAAATTCACGAAAGGACGGACCTCTATCAAATCGCAGCACTGTTTGAGGGAGATCAAGAAGGCAAATGTGTATTTGCTATTTGATTCAACTACAATAAGATGGCGGAGAATATTGAGGAAATCAGTTTTTATGAGTAAAGAAACACACTTGGTTGATCGGTGATGTGATAGTTGGTCTTCCCACGATAAAATGAGGAAATGCCTTGCATAAACCGCAGGATTTAAGCAGGCACGTATCCCGAAAGTTTTATCGGCTCTTGGAGATATGCGAACGAGACAAGATAGTCTGACTTACACTTCCTTCTTAAGCAGAAAACTTCAGTCTAAGAGGAAAATTCAACTTTATAGAGAAGATCAAAACGCTATTTTCACGATCCGACCCCTAAAATAGACACCTTTTACGGGAAAATCTTTGCAAATAAAGCACAAGAAAGCCGTGTACCATCACGTGTTTGTGAATACACAGTCTTTCTGTCTAATCTACAAGTATGAGACCCAAGGTTGGTTGTCACGCCTGAATTGGGAACTAGCCTGTTGATTTGCCTCCATATGACCACAATCCTATCGGTCATTTTACAAAGCTGTGAAAGTCTTTTTCTCTAGACCTGAAGAGAGTTGCGCTTTTCCGCATAACTCGCGCTATATTTCAGGACAGCCAGAATATACTTGAAATTCTCACAGGCACATTTGCTATGTATGCGTGAGCCTGCGTGTGTGGCTATGTGTTTGCGTGTTTGTATGCCTAGCACTGGAAGTATAGACAAATGTTCGTCAGCTAGACGATCCTAAATACTAAAACGGTGATACATAGATCGACGAGCTCTATCATAATATGAGGCAGAATGGTAGCAAAGAGACTTAATTACGGAAAGGCTCTTCGTACGGGCCGGATGACCTCGACTGCATCACTCAGTTCGGAGTACCTTTGGTTCTGTTCGGGAAGGCAATCTGGCCCTGAGGATGGCAGAGCACCACAACCCGATTGGCATTTCGGGCGTCGAAAGGTGATCTACACACCATCAACTGGAGAATGGAGGCCCGCACTTATTCTAGAATTCATTCCGGACAGACCGTCCATGCGAATGGCTCGAATGCAAAGTCATCGACATCGCCGGTAGGACGGTGATAGACGAACTGACACGCAACGGCTGCCGCGTAGGCGCATCTGCAAACCACAAAAGCTCTCAAAATATTCCATAAATCTAGGCAAAATCGGCCGACCGATAAAAGTAGCAATGCACGTCTGTCTTGCGTGCAAGTCCGCCGCGCCGAACTGTGTGTGCTGTCGATAGGCAATGGACAACAGTGCCGGAAAAAGTGGGTGCTAGTTATGCAAAATCTAAGGCAGATGGGTCTGAGGCAAGCCAATGGACAGGAATGGCAAAGTCCACTACATGCTTACCAACAAGGTCTACAGTTATAGATATTCGTGTCTCATGTAGGATAAGAAATGATAACAGGTCAGACCAGATGGCGCATATGCAATTTGGCAGAGTCCAGCATGACGATCTCGTAAAAATACAGGATTGGAATGAACGGCTTGGATTTTGACGCCAAGTCCAGTTATAAATATATAAAACTAAACTATAATTAATAGCCTAGGATAGAGAGGGGAAGAGCCATGCTCCTCAAGAGTTGATGTCCACTTTGATTAAGCAATTGCAGAACTGATTAGAGGGCATAGTAAAAAGCACGAGCAAGGTTTATGGCTTAAACACTGTAAATGCCCTGGAAACAAGTGGAAACGCAGGTGCAGATAACTTGACGCACTGGCATAACTGATCTTGCTAATTATGATTGATTCCAGTGGTTTATTTGGGATGGGTATAATAAACATTATCCATTCTGAACGGAAGAGTTGACTTGACAAATGTGGATAATTAAATGTTAGACAACTTGTTGAATAAAGTGTGCGAGGAATTGATTCCGTCCTTGAGACATCTCGCTTATGTACACACCCAGTGGCCTAATAATGAAAAGCGTGGGGATGATAAACGTAGCTCTGACGAGATGGGTGGACATCAAGGGAAAAGTAGGCCACCTGTAGCAAGTAGGTTGGATATGATGTGGTACAACAATTTGGATATACTCCATTTTTTTCCGTCTAAATCACATCCTGCCATAAAAAGTATCTTTCCTTTTAGCCTGGGAGTTTCTGGAGAGAGTTGTCTTACAACTTAATCATCAGTGCCACTTTAACCGCGGCTGAGGTGGATTAAGACAGAGATTATTAGACTAGTCTCATCACAAGACAACTGGCGTGACTCGTTGTCCTCCTGTGGTGGGGTAAGCATTTGACTGCCCATCGTATTAATCCCTTCGAATTCGTGTAAAGTATTCTTCCGATATATGCAAAGTACATTCAGAGTAGACAGTATAGGTAACTTGATACTGGCATAACTTTTAGTTCGTTTGAGACGGCGGCTCGAACAGATTCGTAGATTGGTCTCACCGCATATCGCAGGAGGGTTGCCTTGAACTTTTTTTTGTTGAATTGTGCGAAGAAAACCTCGGCTCGCCGTCCTACGACCCCGGCAACGGTATCCGTTGAGGCCAATCTACGAATCCCTTCGACACGCCTTCCCAAACGAAATGAAAGGTATACCAGTAGGACTCTTCGAAACCCAGCTACCCTTCATATATCAGAAGTACAAGTAAACATTTGACCACCACAGCGGGTCACTCATTGATTTCTCGTCATACAAATGTCGATTATCCACTCTGGGGAAGGGTAAAACAAAAAAAGAAATCAACTTTTCCACCCTAACTCCCCGTTGTCAAAACAGGACTGACTGTCAAAAATAAGCCAGGGAAAAGCAGCTAATGAGATGACTTGCAATTTTCGTCAGACAGTTCCGACTAATGACGTAGTCGCAGTTTTGTTCAAGGCTGCGATTCAAATAGGACACGGAAATAAATAAATAAAAGTCTCTTGGTTGAATATATGGGGTCCTATTAGTGCTCCAGGGCATGCATTTAGGTACCCACCCCTTCTACAATTTAAAGCACCCTCTGAATCAGCTTTAGAAAATGTTACTCTCTAGACGATACTTCGTGCTTGCGGAAAAGTGAGAGATTTGGTGGATGGAGAGAACAAATGGACGTTTGCGGAAGCCTTCATTCTCGTTGGCAGCCAGCAAGCTCGCAAGGATGCAATGTCACATGAGAGCATGTGAATCACAAAAAATTATACCATGATCTTGTTAGCTAACTGCAAAAACGTGGTTCCACGCCACAGTTTGCTGCTTTATCTTGGAATTGAAATCTGGAAACAATTTCTCAGCCATGGTAACATGCAAATCAAAGTTTGCAGAGTATCGCCTGAGGTTATCCGAAAATTATGTTAAATGCCGCAATTTAGTAGCCCTTTGCTCATTCATCAGCATTCGTGGCGTTAATCTTGCCACCTGAGATGTGCTTCCAAAACAAATAGCGTGCAGACGTGTAAATAAGCAGTGCCAATGCAAATTCTTGGTAGTCACCTGCCGGCCGGGCATGACAACAAATCCTCCTTTTTTGTGGTATCCTCTTAGCGGTCCTTCTTCTCACACAAGATACGGCAGAAGAGTGAACAATCGTGGAGCGCACGCGACACTTGCGGTTTCCAAATGCCTCTTGCCTATAGACACAAGTATGCCCTTCAGGCATGATGACCTCATACATCTCTGTACTTTCGTTTTCCAAATCACATGCCACAAAGGCAGGTGCAAAAAAAGAGATCAAGACCTAAACTATCAAATCTGTAACGGAATCCTATTCGAAAAGTCAAAACCAATTTATTTCGCTCGAAAAAACTTTATAAATATTATCGCGTCATTTTCATTTCATTTGAAACTATTATCCAAGGTATATGTTGGCAGGAACAATAGGAAAAAAGTGACAAATGTTACGTTATTTAACCAGCTTTAAACTAAATATATGAAGTGGTTTGACCTCGTTGTCGCAACTTGGTCTTGTGGTCAGGGAGACTATGAAGAACGC